AGGACAAGGGAGGTGGGTTCAGCCTGACAGAGGGGAAATTTAGGTTGGATATTGGGAAGGAATTGTCCCCTGTGAGGGTGGGGAGGCCCTGGCACAGGTTGCCCAGAGAAGCTGTGGCTGCCCCATCCCTGGAAGTGCCCTAGGCCAGGCTGGAGCTACCTGGGATAGTGGAGGGTGTCCCAGCAGTGTGTGCAAACAGGAATTATTACTTTTAAATAACTCCAATGTCTAACATTTCAGAAAAAGTGGAAGAACACTTGGGAAAAAAAAATCAAATCTGCGTCTTTCTGACAAACCCCAACCTGGAGCTGAGTCTGAGCGAGGGAGGCAAGAGGCAGATAAAGAAAAAAGAGAGATAAGGGAAACTTGAGCAAGAGCCCTGCACTGGACGTGCAGATCTCTTATCACACCCACAGCCTCAGCACTGCAGATTTTGTAATGGGAGCAGAGATTGGGGCACGAAGGGAAGGTGAGGAAAGACACCCCGGTGGTGCCTCCAAGCCCAGGGGTGCCCTTCCTTTGCATGGCCCTGGCATGGGCAGCCACGGGGGGACACAGAGCCAGGCATGAGCCTCACGCTGGGGAGCACTGAGGGAACCCCAAACCCCTGGTTTCTGAAAGCTCAGCCTTGGTTTTCCTCACACACAGAGCCTGGGCTTTAACCCACCCAAAATCCCACAGTGAAAAGCAACTTCCTTCCTCCAGACAGCAATCTCTGGCCTGTGTTGGTTGTGTAATTCCAGTTCTAGTCAAACCAACCCATCATCTCTGGTATTGGACTTCCCACTCGGGTGACCAGAGAGAGCCCCAAACCACTGTCCCTTTGTCGGGGGGAAGGACCATTTCCTTCTGTTCCCAGCGGGGGAATGGGACACAGAAGGGACCCCCAGCCCACAGAGGCATCACCTCCTGAGCCAGACTTCCTGTCCTGATAAGGGAACACCTGGTGTGCCAGGCAATTATGGACACTCAGGCCGGAGATTCCCAATTCATCCAGCTCAGGGCTGTGGCTCGGAGACATCCCCGCTCCTGGGAACACGTGGCAGGATGTTCATGGGAAGCATCTGCCCACTGCCCGACCCGCTGGCACTGCGTGGGAGCAATAGTTTGGAGTCCTTTGGTTCTAATGAAGCTGTTCCTGGGTTGGGGCAGTGTGGGGAGAGCCAGGCCTGGCATTTTTTCCCAGCTTATTTGCACAGCAGGAGGGAATTCCGCTGCCTCCCAGTAACCTGGGCTAGTGGGAGGTGTCCCTGCCCACGACAGAGGGGTTGGAATATGACCTTTAATATGATTGATATGGTTAAAGATGGTCTTTAAGGTCCCTTCCATCCCAAACCATTTTGTGATTCTATAATTTCACATTTCAAGTTCTTCCTAGAGGGAACCTCACAAAGAGGGACAACAAACCCCTGTGGTTTCGTGTTGTTTCGCTCCCAAAGATTGGAGCAAGTCCTTCTTTTTATCCTGCTTTGCACCAAACCTTTTCTCTTCGCCCTCAGGAGTTTTCCAGGGCCCCCCCACAGCAGCTCGTGGGCATTTCCCCGTTCTCTCCTCCTCAGGGAGCATTTCTGAGATGCCAGGAGGGCTGGCGTTGGGCAAACGTGTCATTTGTCACCTGGGCACCAGCAGGGCTCCAGCTGCGTCACAGCCAACCTGATTCCAGTGGCCACCCCGGATCCGTGGGGACAGGGACCAGCCCCTTGGGAGGAGGGAGCTGCTCCTGGCCCGGCCAGTCCAACGGCATCGCTTCCTGTTTTGCTGTCCCACCCAGCCCTTAGTGGGTCACCTGCCCAGTTCTTTCCCTGTGACACTGAGGCAGTTTCCTCCCCACGTTATTCAGCTGCTTTGCTCCAGCCCATTCCAATTACAGGCATCAAATGGAAAGTGTTAATTGCTCCATTCATTATGGGCAGGAGTCACATCCGACTGGTGATCTGTTTGCCTGGGAACTCCCCACAGGCCTGGCCAGGCTCTGAGCCCAAGATGAGCTGGTCTGGCACTGAGGGGAGGACAGCTGGAGTAAGGAATGTCACCAACATCACCAGCACAGGGGACCCCCTCCACTGACCCCCCCTCAAGGAGCATTTGCTGACCATGCAGCTCCCTGGATCAGGACCCAGAGCCCACCAGAACCAGCACCAGTTTTAGGTTGACAGTTTGGAGCAGGGGAAGCCTCGTGGCTCCAGAGCATCAGGAATTTTAAGGATGCTGGAGCATTTCCCCCTCACTAACAGCTGATTCCTGGTTACTTCACTGAAGGACAGGAAACCCCAGCCTGGTTTGTAGGAGACATCTGAAATATGATGTTCTGCACGGGGTGGGGGCATCTGAAGGAGGGATCCTTATCCTATTTCCAAGGGCCTGGAGTGCCAGGACAGGGGGGAATGGCTTCACACTGACAGGCAGGAGGTTTACATGGATATGGGGAAGAAATCCTTCCCTGTGAGGGTGGGGAGGCCCTGGCACAGGTTGCCCAGGGAAGCTGTGGCTGCCCCATCCCTGGAAGTGCCCAAGGCCAGGTTGGAACAACCTGGAATAGAGGAAGGTGTCCCTGCCCATGGCAGGGGGTGGCACTGGATGAGCTTTAAGACCCCTTCCACAGAACCGCGGTGAAATGTTGCCTCATTAAACGGCAGAAATGGGGGGCTGAGCCCTTCCGAGCTCCCTGCAGAACCCCAGCCCTCCCACGAGCGTGCCAAGGGCTCCTCTGCCCGTCTCCTCCTCCCTGGGTGCACCCACAGCCGGGGCTGGGCTGGGCTGGGCTGCGCTCGTTAATCAGCAGTTAATTAGAACAGCCGCCGCTGAGCTCCTGTCACGCACCAGCTCATCCCAAACAGCTCCGGGAACGGGGGCGGAGACAGGAGGTAACAAATTCCTGCGGCTCAGCCCCTGCTCGGCCACGGGATGGAGCTGCAGGATCGGGGAACGCTTCGGGTCGGAAGAGACCTCGAACATCTCGTTCCGGTCCGCGAGGGACACCTCCCACTACTCCCAGGTAACTCCCAGCCCTGTCCAACGTGGCCTTGGACACCTCCAGGGCATCCCCAGCTTCTCTGGCCAATACGGGGGGGCTCATATAACGTTATTTGGCATTAAGGGACTGAGCTGCTGTTTGTTTTCAGCCCCAGACCCCCGGGGCGGGGCTGGGTGAAGGTGCAGCTCCCCAGGGCAGGTTGGCCTTGCTGCTGGACCTGTGCTGCTTCCAGCACAGCTCTGACCCGATATTCCCAGTCTCGCTGGGCTGGCCCACCCAGACCACACATCATTTTGACTTTAACCACCTCGGTGCATCTGTCTGCCTCTGCAGACAGCCCTGAGAGCTTGGTAGAGGTTTCTGAAAGGCAGAGACACTCTAAATGCCTCTCTAAGTACTCAGCCTCTTTGTTTTTTAATTCGGAATAATGAGAAACGTGGCAGTTGCCTCCCAGCTTATTGAGAGAGCAGACAGCTGCCTTCCCAGACACACTGAGATGCAAATCACTGCGAGTTCGGTTGCAGTACTTTTGTCCGGGAGTGGGAGAGCTCGGCGGAGTTGGGTGAATGATGCAGAGGGAGGGAGGAACAGAGAAGTTCCTCAGATGAACACGCAGCAGTGGCTCCCTGGGACCACTGCCATGAAGGTGCGGGTGAAAAGTCCTGAGAGGAGCAGGAAGGGATCCTTTGTTCGTGTTGCTGCTGTAACCTGGGGGCGTTCGGGGCTCCCGCGGAGCCCGGGGCAGTTCGGTGTGGAGCCCTCAGCCCTGGGAGTGTCTGTGCCTGGGGCTCCCTCCTGCTCCCCGAATCCATCGGCCACGCGAGGGAGCGCAAGGAATTGCTGCGGTGCCGCTGACAAGTGCCCGAGGAACGATTTAGGGGCAATTTAATGGGGATTTCGCGGTGGATGGGGTGGGAACACCTCCCTTGGTGAGCAGCTCAGTGTCCCACACGTGGAGCTGCGTGGGGTTGGAGCTCTGCCCTGACAATTCCAGTGCCTGGGACTTGGTGATTCCCTGGGTTTGTCACCCCACAGCTGCCTCAGCTTCCCTGGGAGTTGTCTGGAGATCCTCTGTGGGCAGCTGGGGAGTTATTCCTAGCCCAGGTTGGAATTGGAGCTTGTCTGTCCCTGGCTGGGGATTTTCAGCTCCGAGTCGAGTGTGAGAAGGGATGGAGGGGAAAACCCAACCCCATTAGAAAGCAAATGGTTGGATGCAGTAGAGGTTTTATTGTGAGATGTCGGGGATAGAGAATAAAGTCATGCAGACTAAGAACTTCCAGCTGGTACATCGGAGGTGGATGTTTGAGCAGTAAGTGCTTCAAGAGTGAGTTGCTTCACACAATAGACCCCCTTGACTTGAAAGTCAATTTCTGTTTTCCCCCATTTTACATTTGTTGTCTTATTTCTGTTGATGGTGTAGAAAACAAAGTGCAGGATTTAAATAACAGAGTCACTGAGGTTGGAAAAGCCCTACAGGATCATCGAGTCCCCCCTGTGCCCCATCCCCACCTTGTTCCCAGCCCAGAGCACTCAGTGCCACTGCCAGTCCTTCCTTGGACACCTCCAGGGCTGGGGACTCCACCACCTCCCTGGGCAAAAAAACCCCATTTTCTTCACAAATTTTCCTCTGGTGCAAAGTCAAGAGCAGAAAGAAATGTTTATTGTTAGCAGGACGAGCAGGAAAGGCCCCGTTTTTTGTTGGCACTGGGGCTGCTTTGATGTAACATCATCTGTGTGAGTGACTGTGCCCTGGTAAAACTCACACCTCCTTTACACAGCAGGGACAGAACTGTCCTCCTGCAGCTGAGACCTGGCCCGGGGGGGGCAAGAGACTGAAGATAGGAAGAGATGAGACCTCTAAACCTAATACAGAGCATAACAGAGAGGATTCACTGAGGGCTGGGTTTTAGAGGTGTCAGGATGCCCCAGAGCTCTGGTGGTTCCAGAAGAGTCGTGCTCCCGAGAGCTGGTGAGGGTGAGTCTGGCTCTTCACCCCCTGGGTGTCCTGTGGGCACCTCCCAGGGCTTTATTGCTGCCCACAGTTGTACTGGTAGCTGTTGGACCACTGGTACGAGTAAGGGTAGGAGCTGTGTTGGCACAGGGGAGCTGGGACACACACCTGAGGGGCTGGGACACACACCTGAGGGGCTGGGACACACACCTGAGGGGCTGGGACACACACCTGAGGAGTGGGGGCACACACCTGAGGGCACCTCTTCACGCCCACCTGCCCACACTGGGACAGGCAGAGCTGCTCCCTGCCCGTCCCCTGGGGCTGAGGGAAGGTCACAGTGCAGGGGTTGAGGCTCCTGGGGCTGCAGCAGCAGGAGGAGGAGGAGGAGGAGCAGGAGTGACCTTCCACCACGTGTGTCTCCACACAGCCCGAGGAGCAGCGAGGGCTCTGCAGGGTCCTCCTCACACTGCACACCTTGGCAGCCGTGGGGGCACACCCCGGGCACTGCACACACTTCACCACCCCGGGGGGGTGGCACTGCTGGGGGAACACGGGCGGGGGGCACTTCATTCCAGCCGGGATGTAACGCTGCTGCTTGTACTGGTACCTGTAGTAGGACATCGTTCCGGGGGGGAATGGGCCTGGAAAACAAATCAGGGGAGAGGGGTGAGGGAACTCCCTGCAGGTCTGGGGTGTGGAACTGCTGCTTGTGTTGGGACCTGGAGTAAGACACGGTTCTGGGGGAGAAATGAACCTAAAAGGGCCAAGTAGGGGAGAAAAGCGAAGGAATTCCCTGCAAAGCGTGCGATGGGAATCGAGGGGCCCAGACCTGGACACAGCACTCCAGGTGCCCTCCCCAGTGCCCAGCACAGAGGGGCAATCCCTGCCCTGCTCTGGGACATCCCAGCTCTCTCTGCCACACGTGGAGGACCCAAGGAGTCCGTTCCAAGGATGTGACTGAGCACAGGGAAGTGCTGAGACCTTGGATTTCCTAATAACAGTTTAAAATCTGCCTGCAGATCAGCTTCCTCAGCACCAGCACATGGCTCTGGGGCATCTGCACCGTGCAATTTGGTGGCAGTTGACTCTGCAGATGTACAGGACAACTCATCCCATTCCACCCCTGCCATGGGCAGGGACACCCTCCACTATCCCAGGTTGCTCCAACCTGGCCTTGGACACTCCCAGGGCTGGGGCAGCCACAAGCTTCTCTGGGAAAGCCATTGCAGGGCCTCCCCACCCTCACAGGGGACAATTCCTTCCCAATATCCAACCTGAATTTCCCCTCTGTCAGTCTGAACCCACCCCCTTGTCCTGTCACCCCAGTTCCTGATGAACATCCCTCTCCAGCTTCCCTGCAGCCCCTTCAGACCCTGGAAGGGGCTCTGAGGTCTCCACACAACCTTCTCCTCTCCAGGCTGAACATTCCCAGCTCTCCCAGCCTGTCAAAGGCTGATCCAAACCTGGCTCTTGCTGTAAGAGGGAGGCAATAGTAACTCTTCTAAGGAAGAATCCCCCAAAAAGTGCACAAAAAAGGGTCTCAGACAGGCAGAAGCCTTTTCCAGATAAAAATTATCAGTAATCCACCCCAGTCTCTGATCTGGATTGTGAAGTTCAGCTGCCAACAGAAATAGTCACTTGAACCACTAAAATAAGTGGAGAAATGTAGAAGTCGGTTTTAACAAAGCAAATTAAAGATGTGGGGACCTAAATAGCCAGATCAGAGTGGAATCCACATCCCAAATTGGGTGAGGTTCTGTAAATCTCAGGCTCAGCTTTAAAAACCTGTATCTGCCTCTGCCTTTAGAGAAACCAATCCCAAATAACCCACAAACCCAAGAACCTTTGAAAAAACCATCCCTCTTAATTCCCAGCGTCAGATATTTCTGCAGGGTCCAGTTTCCAGTTCAAAGTGCCAACAAAATGTTATTTTCCCAGTTAGAAATAGAAGGAGGCAAATAACTTACCGAGCTCGCAGTGGAGAGCAAGAACTGGATTGAAAGCTTGGAAAAGGGTGTTTTTATATGGTGTTTTTATAGTCCTTCAGACCACGGAAACCCTGAGCCACTGTGGATCAGATCCTAATTAGCTACGGGGGGGAATTTGTTCCTATGCCACTTTTTCACTGGCTGTAATTATTTTACTCATTTGTGCTCGTTAATGCTTTGTTATCCCTAAATCCCATGGAAAACACCTCACACCCCAGGGTTGGTTTCATTTTAAACCTTTATGGGAGACGGAAAAGCCGCCTTTTATTCTGTTGACCTCATTAGTTCCATCAGGAAATGGATCCCTCTCCTCTCAAAGCTGCTTTTTGCAGCCTGACAGTCCAGAGGCAGCAGCAGGAGTGGGAGATGCAGCTTCTCACTCCGTTTTTCCTGCAGATGAGGAGCTGGGACGTTGGGGAACGTGGCTTTGCAAAGGGAGGGACGGAGCCACCCCTGCCCTTGCAAAATGTTCCGTCCCAGCGACCCCAAAGCAGGGAGAGCTTTCCAGTGCTCCCATTCTCCTGCCCTACGACCATCCCCAGAGCTCCTGCCCGGCTCCCAGAGCTCAGCTGGGGCTGTGCTGCTGCTCCCTGTCCCTGTGCCTTGTCCTGGTCCATCAGCAGAGAGACTGTGATGTAATTAAGAGCCTTTGATGTCCTGAGACGCAGCCTGTAAATTGGCTGAGTGCTGGCATTGCTCATCCCGGGGCTGAGCTCGGCCCGTGTAAAACATTAATGAGCATTTGGGAGCAGTTTGAAGAGGTCCTGTTGGGAAGGTGCTATTTAATAACCCGTCAGTGCTACTCTTGTTTTATAGGCAGGTGTAAACAGCTGTCTGTGCAATCCCAGCTCTGTCAGGAGTGTCTTCATTTATCAAAGCTCAGGTGTCTTCATTTGTCAAAGCTGAGCTGTCTCAATTCAGCAGCAGAGCAAAGCTGAGCTGTGAGGTGAGAACAGGCCCTCACACAGGTCCTGCCACTGTGTTTATTCTTTTTTCCCCTCCCCAGCTCGGAGCATCTCCTTAGAAAAAGTCCTGGTGCAGGCAGTGCTTTACCTCCCTAGTGAATGTACTACAGGGTTGTGTGTTCTGAGGGGGAATGGAGTTCTCATGGAACGGTTTGGGTTGGGAAGGACATTGAAGATCATCTCATTCCAACCCCCCTGCCCTGGGGCAGAGGTTGGACTCGATGATCCTGGAGGTCTTTTCCGATCTAAATAATTCTGGGATCTGGTGATTCTATTTTTTTGGGATGCATTGGATCACTGGTACCTGCCTGCTTCATGGAACAGTTTGCCCAAATAAATGTCTTCAGAGAGCTCCCTCCTCCCATGTTGAGCTCTCGCTTGGTCCTTTAAGGTTTTATCCTGACGGATGATTTTTGTTTTGCATCGTCAGTTTTCAGAGTGCTGGGCTTTGATTCTTCAGCTTGTTTTACCTGGGGAGTGGAGCTGACACAGGCCCAGTTCTGTTGTCTTCCCTCCTGAGCTGCTGAGTCCTGGCTCCCGTTCAGCCCCCGACTCATCACTTCTGTCTCCTCCCTGTCCCTGGTTGGAGTCACAACACCCTCGTTAAAAACCATCCACGTGCCAGCCCCGGTTGTGTGGAGCACTAATGAGCTGTTCTGATGTGCTCTGGAAAGGCTTTCAGAAAGCCTTGGCGTGATTGTTGTCAGTGTTAATCTCCATGTTCAGATAAATCCGCCCCACAGTGACGTGAACCCCGAGCAGTTTTCCGCAGAAAACAAATCCCAGCAGTGGGGATTCCTCTCACACTGGAGGAAAGATCTTGGCTTTGAATTATTAATAAATCTCTAATATAGGATTTAACATTTAGTTTTATCTTCAGCTGGCTAAAACTGGTAATGAGGTGTTTAATTCCCGTGTGTTTGGGGAATTACTCTGGGGATAAATAGCTGCCCAGTCTAAGCTGAATCTCAGCACATGTTGAAATTCTTATTCAACACGTGGTTATCTTCAGTTATTAGTTGTGGCTGGAAGTGTCCAAGGCCAGGTTGGACAGGGCTTGGAGCAACCTGGGCTAGTGGAAGGTGCCCCTGCCCATGGCAGGGGGTGGGACTGGATGATCTCGAAAGTCCCTTCCAACCCCACCCATTCCATGATTCCACGGTAGAAAATGCAGAGCCAGTTTTCCAAAGGAGCTGCAGATCTCTTCTGTCATCCCCAGACATTGTGACAGGGTGAAGATAAACCTCGGTGTGCAGTTAAACTGGCAGAACATCCCATGTTTTCCCATTGCTGTGGAAATCTGGGCTGAGGTTTCAGCTGCACAGCAGCACAGTGCCAGGGGGTCCAGTCCTGCCCTCAGAGTCATTCTGCTGCCAGTCTGGTGAGATATCCCAGAATCCCAGAGCAGCTGGGGTTGGAAGGGACCTCTGGAGTCACCCTTGCCATCCTTGGCATCGGTTGCTGACTCAGTTGGGTGTCAGAGCAGCTCTGGCTGATGTTTAACAGGATGATAACCCCACACCAGCAGCTGCATTCCATCAGCAGCTGGGCTTCCAGAATGCAGCTTCCACTTGTTGTTCCACAGAGTTGCTGTTACAGTGGCTTTTGGTGCCCTTTTAATTGGAGAAGCGACTCACTGGCAAAAATGCCTGACAAGGTCTTGCCTCAGCCACACCCTGTTTATGGCCTTTTTGCCATCCCCCTAATCCAGCCATGATTTACAGCTTCACGAATGCGGGGCATTTAATTCCATATAAAATGTGCTCTTGCCCTTCTTTCCTTTTTTATGGGTAAAACGTGTTAGAGAATCGTGTGCTCGGCGTCCAGCTGGGAGAGCTGCCCTGACTTACCTGGGGCTGCAGCTCTGTCAGTGCAGGAGTTCTGCACCGAGCCAGAGCTCTGACCAGGCTTTGGATTAATCTGATTTCACACAGAACCCAGAGCACAGTTTATCCCTCACTGTTTCAGCTCTTCCTGGGCTGAGTTGAGTGTGTTCTCACCCAGGAAAAAGGCTCATTGTCACCTGCCCAGGAACGAGTCCATTCAGGGAACACATCAGGGATGAACCACGTGAGCACGACATGCAGTGTCCCCTCCACATAAAACTGGGAAATAGCAGGGCCAGGAAGGCAGTAAAGGACAGGTCACGCAGGGACAGACTGATAATTACAAAGAGTGATTTATTTACACCAATTGACGTCCATACCCAAAGCTGGATCTCCAGAGAAACGTGCTCAGAGATTGATCAGGACGTTCTGCCCGTGCTGATTCATGCCCTGGGCACTCTGAGGGCGAGTATAAAAGGGCTCCCCAGCAGATCTTGGCAGATCATTCCTCTGCTCTTCTCTTGTGCTGTAGGTGAGTGACCCCTGAATTCCTCTCCTGACAAAGCCTGAGCGTAGTTTTAAGGCAGAGTCTTGTGCAAATGTTCTGGGATCAGTCTGAAGGTTTCTTGGACATGGTATTTAGTGCTCTGGTCTCGTTGATAACGTGGTGATGGGTCAAAGGTTGGACTGGATGGCCTTAGAGGTCTTTTCCAACCTGATTCTGTAAATGAATAAATTAGTGTTCAGCTACTGGCTTTGGTAAATGCAAATCTGGGTGAGATCCAAGATTTGGACTTGATGATTCTTGTGGGTCCCTCCCAACTCACAATATTCCGTGATTCTGGGATCAACATTTCACAAAGGCTTTTTCCAGATGTGTTCTACACAAGGTTTATAGGGTTTTTTTGGGTTCAAAATGAGATTTATAGGTTTTTTGGGGTTCAACACGAGATTTATAGGGTTTTTTTTGGGTTCAACACGAGATTTATAGGGGTTTTGGGGTTCAACATGAGATTTATAGGGGTTTTTTGGGTTCAACACGAGATTTATAGGGGTTTTGGGGTTCAACATGAGATTTATAGGGGTTTTTTGGGTTCAACACGAGATTTATAGGGGTCTTGGGGGTTCAACATGAGATTTATAGGTTTTTTTCTGGGTGATGAGCCACGAGAGCTCTGCCTTTCCCTCGAGCCTCTTTGCAGCCTCTCCTCACCACGTTTGAGGGCGCAGCTGATAAGAACTGATGTCCTGTGTCCCTGCTCTTCCTCAGATCCCCTCAGACCCTCCCTCCTGACGATGGTGCTGTCCCGGAGCCCCTGCACCGAGGGCTCTCCCTCGCCCTGCGGGGTGGCCGCGCCCCAGCCCGTGGCCGAGAGCTGCAACGAGCCGTGTGTGCGGCAGTGCCCCGACTCCACCGTGGTCATCTACCCCCCGCCCGTGGTGGTCACCTTCCCCGGGCCCATCCTGAGCACCTTCCCCCAGCAGAGCGTGGTGGGATCCGCGGGAGCCCCCGAGGTCGGGGTCGGGGTCGGGTCTGGGTTCGGGGCCGCCCGCACCCCCGGCGCTTCCCACGTCTACGGCGGGGCCCGCTGGGGTCGGGGGTACCCCGTGGGGAGCTGCAGGCCCTGCTAAACCCACCGGGGGTCTCTGCCCAGAGGAGAAGCCCAGCGGGGTGCAGAGACAGGGCTGAGCCCCAGGGCACAGCGTTCCGGGAGCGTTGAGGGTTTGGGGGGCACGAAAAGCATCTGTAGGTGTTGTGAACGCCCCAGAAATCCATTTATGTCCTTCTCAGATTGCCCTGCCTGATTTCCTTTTTCCTAATCCTTCCTATCTTTCCAAGTGCTCTGTTCTTGATGCTGTGGGCTGTGTTGCTAATTCCTTGGGGGCTCATAGGGATCTTTCTGGCTTTGAATAGGTTTAATTAGATATAATGAAAAAATTCTTCCCTGGGAGGGTGGTGAGACCCTGGCACAGGTTATTCCATGGGTTCCCCATCCCTGGAAGTGTTCAAGGGCAGGCTGGATGGAGCTCTGAGCAGCCTGGTCTAGTGGAAGGTGTCCCTGCCCTTGGCATTGGGGTGGAATGGGATGATTTTTAAGGTCCCTTTTAACCCCAGCTGGGGTGGAATGAGATGGTCTTTAACCCAAACCACCCTGTGCTTCTTGTGACTGTGACAACATAAAGGGATCTGCTACGAGATGCTCTTTGGATCCCTCTGTAGACTCTTTCTCTGGCTCCTGGTGGATAAAAGGGGTTGTGGTGTCAAGCAGCCCGTGCCCTGTGTCTGTGCTGGGTGCTCAGGGCTCCCCATCAGCCACTCCAGGAGTCATCCTGCACCAAACCACGGGCTGGGGGCAATCTGTGACCTGGACTGTGTAATCCTGCCTCTGTATCAGCTGCTTCTTCCTCATTAAACACGACATTGCAACACGTTGTTGGCCTCTGTGTGTGTTCCCTCCTCTCCTCCCTGTCCAGGTGCCTTTGTGCTGCTGCACCAGCCTGATCCTAGCAGGATAATGATATTCCCGAGGGATTTGGCAGTGGGTTGTCTGTGCACCTCCTTGGCACAGCAGCTCTGGGCTGTGGGTGTCCCTTCCCTTCCCACGTTTCTGGTCCTGCTCAGCTCTCAGGAGCTTTTTGCTCAGTGTTGGCTTTCCTGGCCCCTGTTCCTCAGTGTCCTCAGGCTCAGCCTCCCCAGCCAGGCATGACACAAGGGAGCAGCTGGATGGGCAGGGTTGGCATTGCCAAAAAGGGTCTGCAGCCAAATGTTACGTGAGAGCAGCTATTTTTGAGGGTAAAAATTAAATTTCTGGCTTTACTGCTCTGCTCAGTGTTTTACAACAATCATCCTGTCCCTTGTTCCCTGGGAGCAGAGCCCGACCCCCCCCCGGCTCCCCCCTCCTGTCAGGGAATTCCAGAGCCAGAAGGTCCCCCCTGAACCTCCTTTTGTCCAGGCTGAGCCCCCCCAGCTCCCTCAGGAGTTCTCCAGACCCTTCTCCAGCTGCTCCAGCCCCTTCCCCAGCTCCGTTCCCTTTCCCTGGTCCCGCTCCAGCCCCTCCGTGTCTTTCTTAAAGTGAAGGGCAACAATAGAAACGGGGTGTGCAGAAATGGGTGCTGATGTTCACTGCAGGAATTATCACTTTCCTTGGGAATCTGTTGATAATAAAGGTTTCCCAAGCTTTCCACGCTGTGCTGTGTTTGAAATGTTATGTGGTCTGTTAATAATAGAACCAGGGTAATTAAGCATTGCAGGGTGACCTGAGAATGTGGGATTGTTTCAGAGCAGTCACTCTGTGCAGAATTATTGTCCTCCTGTGGAAGGAAAACAAAGCTGGCCGGGCACTGTAATGCTGTGTAATTGGCTGGTGGTGAGTTCTGGAGGAGGTGATTAAACCAGATTCTCCCCAACCACAGAAACCCTTCCCTGCACAGGAGAAATCCCCCAAACCTCCAAAGCCAGAGGAAGGGACCTTTCTTGTCATGCTAATGGTGCATTTGGGAATGAGCTACAGTTTGTTGAGGCCGCTCCAGTTGCACTTCTCGTGGAATATTTTGAGATCTTCAGTTACCACAAAGCAGCAAATTCAGTAAAATGAGGAAAATTTGCCAATGTGTTTTTTTTGGGAACTGTTTATGATACTCTTTTTTTTTTTGCCATAAAAACTACTCATGTGAACTGCCCTGAGGACTGAAGATATCAAGTATCTTACTAAGCAGATTTAATGTCTTTTTAAGATAGAAGCATTTGCTGATGTCTGTTAGGTTCATTATGGAACCTAATTATCAGGATTAACAGTAATTGTGGGTTAACAGTGTTCATTTAAATATGTTGAATTTTGGAAATCTTGTTTCTCTCGTTGCTTCCAACAAGGCCATTTTTTTCCTGTATCATGTCCCACTTTCCCTTCTCCTTAAAGGTTTATTTTTTTTTTTGAGAAATAATTTGAAAAATTAGCCCAGTTTGGGCACTATTCAGGGGCCCAATTTCTCATTTAGGACAGGCTTAGCCTTTAAAAGGGATTCCCAGTCCTGCAGTGAATCTCTGTGCTGGAGGCAGGTCCTGAGGCATCACCTGTGTGGGTTGTTCCCAAGGTGCATTTAAATTTCCCACAGTGCAGTAAATACATCCTGCTGGGACTGGTGCACAGGAAATTACAGAGGTGGTTTTCTGTTAGTTAAATGAGGCAGCTGCCTCTGTTATGATAATATCTCAGCCAGGAACAAAGTTCCTCTAATCATCCACCTTTTCTTCAGCCTGGGGACACGAAAGAATTCCAGATTTAGTCTCTTCATGAAAGGGGCCTACGAGGAAGTCAGAGAGGAAATGTTCACGGGGAAGTGGATGACAGGACAAGGGGGGGTGGGTTCACACTGACAGAGGGGAAATTTGGGTTGGATATTGGGAAGGAATTGTTCCCTGGGAGGGTGGGGAGGCCCTGGCACAGGTTTCCCAGAGAAGCTGTGGCTGCTCCATCCCTGGGAGTGTCCAAGCCAGGTTGGAGCAGCCTGGGATAGTGGGAGGTGTCCCTGCCCATTGCAGGGGGTGGAATGAGTTGGCCTTTTTTTTTTTTTTTTTTTTTTTTTTTTTTTTTTTTGGAGGTCCCTTCCAACCGAAACCATTCCATGATTCTATGACATAAACCCAGGGAAATGCTCTTCCGGCACCACTGGAACGTGGGGGGGAACTCAAAGCTTCCTGAGATATGGGGACAGATCCACGGGAAAGGAGCATTGGTGCTGTTGGCTGATGCTTGGGGGGCCCTGGAAGTGGTCTCGGCTGGAATTCCACAAAGATATGGGACTCCTTGAACCAGCCTGATGTGCTTGAATGAAGGGGTAATAAAGGGATGCAGCCCCAGTTAAAGGCAGAGCACCCTGTCGGGCATCTTGGGTGAAAAATTGCTTTTCCTCCCTGTGTAGGCTCCAGCGTTCCCATAAGCCTGACCTGCAGCAGAGGAGGAGATCCTGGATGTTCCCTGGATCCCTGGGGGGCTGAGCTTGCTTGGCTGGGCGGCTGCAGGGAGCTGCCTCGGGACACCACCATCGCGGAGGGGAAGCCACAACCGTGACACCTTCAAAGCAAAAAGGGACGCGAGGTGGCACCCAGGTGGCTCCAGGTCAGTGTGGAGGAGGGAGGTGAAGGCAGGTGAGAGGTCTGGGAAGGCTGGGGCTGCCAGGAAATCACCACCTGTGGGTCGTGAGCCCCGGGCTCTGGGAGGGGGCCGCTCCCGCTGTCGGAAGCGAATGGGCTGGGGGGGAAGAACCGCCATAAATAATGCTGGGGTGGCAAACGTGGACAGGGACTGAGGTTAAACTGGGGCCAGAGGACCCTGGGGCGGGCTGAGAATTCCACCCAAACATTTGGCTTTCCGGGTTCTGCTCCTGTTCTGTTCCTGTGCGTCGCTGCCGAGGCCCTTCCGCAGGTGCCGGTGGGAAAAGCAATGTGGGCCCCAGGGAGATAAGCTGGATTTCTAGTGTTGGGAGACTCCACCATTTCCTAATGTTTTCCCTGGGGAACCCAGCCCATTTTGGTGCTGACAGCAGCCAGCAGAAGGATTACTGAGCATCTCTTAATAGCTCTGCAGTTTCAAAGTGTTGCTCTGATTTCCTGCGGACGTGCCCTGCTGGCAGCTTTGGGTGGAGGTTCCTACACTGACCCTCTTCCTGGGGTGCCCTGATCTGGGTCTGTCTTGCTCCAATTTGGACGCCAGGAGGTGGTTTCTGAGGCAGCAGATGTGTCTCTGATGTGGCAGCTCCTTCCCAGACAGGGAAATGGAGCTGTGGGGGCTCATCCTCTGCTGCCGTCCAGTTCAAGGGCAAAGAATTTAAGGGAGATCAGTGACATGGATGTTGGACTGGAGGAACAGCATTTACTGCTTGGGGACTGTTCTGCTGACTATCCCTGGTTTTCTGCCCTGTTAAAGTGCTTCTCCAATCTCCTCCCTTAGTTCTTTTCTTGACCCTTTCCTCCCCTTTGCTCTGGAATGCAGAAGTGCTTCTGCAGGAGGCCACCATGGGAAGAGAAGGGGTAGCCACGGGTATCTCCTGGAAGTCAGCCCAGAGGTGGCCCCTCACAGTCACTTCTGCATCAAGATTTGTGACTCCTGGTGATGCCTTTGATGTGTAGCTGGGCTTGCAGGGGATCCAAGCAGCCCTGTCTGGGCTCTGCCTGTTGAACCACCTTGTTCTGCGCCAGATTATAATCTTTGGTGTTCTAAATCTAAATCAAGACTCCTCAGTCTCCTAGGGTGACATGCTAAAGGCTGGCAGGAACTCCCTGAAGAACCTGGCTGTTCAGTTTGCAAAGGAGGTGATCCCTCCAGCAGATGGTCGTGGCTTGGTTGCCTTTGGTCTTTGCTCTCAGGTGTCTTTGACCTTGAGTGTCACTGCTCTCCTGCCCTGGCAGACCACGAGACTTCCCCTCAGTCTCTTGCTTTTTGAGATCTCTCTTGCTCAAACACAACCCCCAGCTTTGCTCCAGGAGTCTGTGTTTGGGGAGAAGAGAAGAATTTGGGCAAGCCCAAGGTCACAGGCAGAACTTCCTCCTACCTGGGGAAATGAGTCAGGGCAGGAGCAATCCAGGTGGAGATGTGGTGATTGTCTCCAACATCTGGAGTCTGGAGTTCCCTCCTATCCCATGGCTCTTTGGAGTGGCTGGTGGTCCTTTTTAAGTGGTGTGTGAGCCCAGACAAGAGAAGACCAGACACCTGATGCAGCTAAACAGAGTAATTTTAATGAAGATGAGAAACAGTGAGTTACAGAAAGAACAAGTTTGCAGAGATACAAAAGGGTCTTCAGCAAGCAGAGAGTTTCTGCTGGTGGGTGATGCTTTTCCTGGTGGGAGTGGTGGAGTTTGACAGCACAGAACAAGTTTCTTGCTTACAGAGTTGCTTGGAAGTCACGTTCACTGCCAGATGAGGCACAGCACGGACATGGAACAGGAGCTTCTCTACTAGATGTCATCTTGGGTGAAGTTAAAGTGGTTGCAGGAACTCCTACTACTATGACAATACCAAGGGCTTGTGAATTAAAACTAAAAGGCACTTTACTCACACCCAAGGTCTTGCTCTACTCCCCCAACATGCTCTGAAGGTGCCTCAGCTCTTGCTGCAATTCAAGTTGCCCTTTGGAACTACAGCTGAAGAAACAGGAGACGTTAGAGAGGGAGTAGTGGAGTAGTTACACATGGAGTGGTTACACAGGGAGTAGTTACACAGGGAGTAGTTACACAGGGAGTAGTTGCACAGGGAGTAGTTTCAGGCAGCCCAGCAGCACCCACGTCTCCCCCTGAACTCAGCCAGGGGGTGGGCGCTGGGCGTTCTCAGCCCCAGAAATCAGCCGTGAGTCCGTGTCCTGCATTTCAGTCCTCGGTTGCCGTTCCTGCTTCAGGAGAACCTGCCCCCGAAGCGAGAGAAGGGGTACCCATACCCGTACCCGTACCCCCACCCGGACAGGTCCCCGTACCCGTAATAGCCCCCGTAGCCAAGGAAGCCCCTGTTCCCAAACAGGCTCCCAAAGCCTCTGTAGCCGTAGGGGCTCCCATATCGGAACTGGTCCCAGGAGTAGCTGAAGGGCCTCCCAAATCTGAAGCCGGAGAGGTCGTCGTACCCAAACTGGGAGTAACACCCGTCGTCGCAGAAGTCCCTGTAGAAGGTCATCCTTTGTTGATGTTGGTGAGCCTGGAACACACCCAGAAATGAGGTTTATGGGCTGCTGACGGCAGGAGGAGAGGCTGGAAGGAGATGCAACTCCTTCCCTCCTGTGTTCATCCTCCTAATTACCTCATTTATTTTTCTGATCTCCCGAATCCCAAACAACTTCTCTAATTTGTTCCCCCCTCAGCTTTTGGAAATCGCTGACTGAACATGGAAAAGAAGGTTTTTGCCAACTGAGAACTGAACTTTCCCACTCCGGAATTCAGAGGAATTTTAATGAACTAAAGAAAAATACACAAATATAATCCAAAATTGGAAATAACTTTTGGCTTCAAAATTATGGTAGAAAACTTCAAGTTTTCAGCACTTTAAAGCCTAAATATTCAGTAAGCCCAGGAAAGAAGAGCAAAAAAGTTCAAGTGAAGGAATTCCCTGCGATTGCAGGAAATTTTGTGTTTGGAATTTGCTCCAAAATGACAAGAAATTGCTTACAGAAGGTCTGTACCTGTGCATAGACACACATTACATATGTCACATATATATGGACACACCAGCACCTTTTATAGATATAAATTTAATTATAAATATATATATTTTTATGTATATCCAAGCACACACAGATATTTGGACAAACACAGAGACACGAGAGCAGAGTCAGGATGGACTTACCCGGTTCACTGAGGGGAGCAGTTGAGTGGCTGAGAGGAGTGAATGCAATTCCGGGCTCGGAGGTCTGTATTTATACCCTCCCGAGCTCCAGAGTTGTCCAGGATATCTCATCAGACCCTTTGTCCCTCCAGTTGACGTCGGCGGAGTCACCGATTTTCATATTTGCCGAGCTCGGCGTCGCGACACGTGTGTAACACCTCCAGAATTTCTTTAATCTCGAAACGAGGAGAATCTCTGGGAAAATTGCAGGCAATTCCCTGTGCTTGGAGGGCTGGCAATAATTTGGGGAGACATTCAGACCATTGCCCGTTGCGCAATCGCCTCGTGGCTGCTCCGTTGGCTTGGCTTTGGCGTCCTGTGGTGCAACAAGTTGGGGACCAAAGGCACGGGCTCGGCTTTGGTGTGCCGAGGAGGGCTGGAGCTTCCCAGCATCATCCTGACCTCTGCCTGCTTCCCAGTGACCCTGGGGGGTGTCCCTTCATCCCTTCCCAGCAGCTCTGTTGGATTTTGGTCTCGGGTTCTACAACAGCAACGTCGAAGACGTTTTCCAACTGCCCTGCGAACATTCCCAAATATCCCTTCCTATTTTAGAACATTTTTATGGGGGGGGATGGTTTTTGACTTTCATACAACAAAAGCAGCACCTTAATGGGGCTTGGAAACAAGAGACCTTGAAGTGTCTTGGAAGTGACCGTGTTATTAAATCTGGAGGTGTCTTTCGGTGACAAACTATTAATATTTAAATCCTGCAACACTTTGCAAATTGAAAACATTAATGAGTGTTTATGAAGTGCTTTGGTATTCAAAATTCTGAGGAAGCCTCAACATCCTGTTTGCTCATTATTACGCTTATTTTCCATTCAAATTAATGCCAGGAATTAGGTGAAGGTCACTCAAGGAGTTCTGCCGTGAACTCCGGCGTTCCTGGAGTTGGATACACGTGGTTGATTCTTTGTGGAAAAGGTATGGACGTGATTCTTTGGAAAACAGCATTTAGAGCTCTTTTAGTGCTAATCTTTATGATTTCTTTATTTCCACATCAAGTTCATACCTGAATTCTCCACGTTGTTGTGCTGAGGTCAAGCCCTTTAGTGAATTAAAGTGTTGCAAACAACGCCAGAGACATAATTTTTGTTGAAAACATTCTTTCTGCTCATGCAGCAACATGACTTCAATTCGTGAGCACTTTGGAGGAATGGAATTAAGATTTATTTATGGTTCTGGCTGTTTTTCCTCGAGTTGCTGAAGTTTGATATAAAACTCCTACATCTACATTTGCATTTCCTTTAAATGAAAAGCCTGTGTTGTGTTGCATCAGTTTCTAGTGAAAAACAAATATCCAATACGTGGAAAAGCTTTCCTTTTTTACTGAAAATTTCTCTCTCTCCATTGTCCTTGAGAAGGCAGAAATGACTTTTATATTATACAGAAATAAACTTCAGTTTTCACAACGGAGACAATAAAATGGTATCAGGAATGTAGCTGGCCCAGAAAATTGGCAGATGAAAGGAACCTGTAATACGTGTGCCATATGGGAGGCTGGGAACACACTAATAATCCCAAACAATGAAGAAAATTATATTAATTGAAGATATGACGTGTACAGGCAAATTTGTTTTCCAACCAATAAGGCTCCCAACCTTTTTGAATACTCAGGGCGTCTGAGATAAGCCAGGAGGGCCAGCAGGGAGTATAAAAAGGGCCGGGAGCTCCGGGCTCCTCAGCAGCTCCTCTGCCTTCCTCCTCCCGGTGAACTCGGTAAGTTTTCCCTCCTTCCTTCACAGGGATTGGGAATTTTGCCTGAGTGATTTCTGCTGGGATTGGGGCTGCTCTGAAATTTAAGATTTCTCCGGGGATTTCTCTGAAATTCAGGGTTTGAGCTGCGCTGCAGGAGTTGGTGGGTTCAAGTTTTAAAGCTGGGGGTGAAACGGGTCCTGTTGGTCCCTGAGGCTCCCTGATAAGGGATTATTAGGGCAGCAGAGGTAGAAATGGGTTTCCCCACCATGACCCTCGGTGGTTTTTTTCCATAAATCTCCTCTTTTCAGTGAGATCTGCAGGTCTGTTTGGCAGGACAGGTGTTCTCAGGTGTGTCAATGCTCCGTAGGTGGTTGTGTGTGCTGTCAGCACGTCCAGATGCAAATTAAAATGGGTGGAAATCACTGAAATGGCACTTGGAGGGATGAACCCAAACATCACTTTGGGCTTGCTTGAAGACTTCCTTGATGGAGCTGGGAATGCAGAGCTCCATGCAAAGCTGATGTCCTGAAAGAAATTTAGGGTTGTCCACTCCTAGCAGATATTCTCTAAGAAAAATCCTGAATCAGCAGCAAGGTTTTGGTCTGTAACAGGTGATTCCACGGTCAGGGTTTTCACCAGTCACAGAAAGGGAGAAAACCAGATAGTTTAAAGACAGGTTGGATTTGATGGTCCTTGTGGGTCCCTTCCCACCTGGCAGATCCTGTGATTCTGTGTTCTTGGGGAGGGTCCTGTGCAGGGCTGAGAGCTGGACTCGATGGTCCTGGTGGGTCCCTTCCAACCCAGCACGTTTGTGGCATTCTGTGGATAAATAAACCACAGAAATGGGCTGTAAGGAGGAGCTGAGGTCACGACGTTGCTCCTGCCCTCGGCCTCGCGGGACCCCTGAGGAAGTTTCCGGGCTCTGTCGCTGCCGTGGGGAATATTCACGGGAACATTCACGGCCTCTCCTTCCCTCCCCGCCGCCAGGTTTGCCTCCAGCACACAAAGATGACCTTCCTCCAGGGCCAGTGTGACGACGATTGCTACTCCCCCTGCGGCTACCGGGGCTACGACTGCGGGAGCCCCTGCGGCTACCGGGGCTACGGGGGCCTCTACGGCTACCGCGGCCTGTACGGCCTCGGCGACCGCTACGGCTACGGGGGCCTCTACGGCTACCGGGGCCTCTACGGCTCCGGGGACTGCTACGGCTACGGTGGCTACCGGGGCTTCTACGGCTCCGGGGACTGCTGGGGATACCCCGGGGTTTACTCGGGCCGCTACGGTTACCCCTACGGCTCCCGCTACGGCCAGAGGTACGGCTACAGGGGCTGCTACAGCTGGTGAGCCCCGCCGGGACGGCCCTCGGGGAAGGTCAGCCCAAGCCTGGCACGCAGGGGTTGATGGAGAACCTCGGCAGCAGAGGGTGTGCAGGGCCCCGGGCGCAGCGCCCGCCCTCCGCGGCGGCTTCGAGAGCTCTGCGCTGCCCTCGAGGTGCTTGCCGTGATCCCTCTTCGTTCTGCTCGGTGTCTGCTGCTGCTCCTGCCACCCAGAGTCTCCCCTTGACCTAGAACCTGCTTCTCCTCGGTGCTCCAGTCCTCGGAAACCGGCTCTGATGTTTGCAATGATGTACAAAGCCTGAGCTCTGGCCGGGTGGTGGGCAGGGTGTAAAGGCCTCTTTGGGAATGTGGGCTCTCTGTTCTGTGTCTCTTTATAAAGTTCATCTGCCTTTCACTCGTATTAAAAACTTATTCTGCATCAATCCTGCATTTTCCTGGTTTTATTTTCCACTTTGTTTCTGAAATATCTTCAAATCCATAGCAGCAAACAGTGGCAAATTTATTAACTTGGTGCACCTCAGGACTTGCCTGTGGAGGCTTGTCCTCCTCAGGCTGGAAACAGGGACTTTTGGAGCTGCAAGAAACTTGAGCTGTGGCTCTGGATTTGCATGTTCCTACAACTCCAGGCTTTGGCTTGGTGGGAAATAAGTAATTCATCTCCAGATGCTTCGGTGCTGCTGTTGGGCCAGTGTGGTGTGATTAGGACATGAGCCATCCCTGCCCGTGACCTGATATTGGACAAGAACTCTGGAACAAGAACACTGAATTTGCCTTGCAGGAATTGGACAATATTCTACTCACTTGAACAGTTTTCTGTATTCTCTGTGCAGGTCTGGGACTAATTCTTTTATATTTGCAACATTATTATAAAGATCATTACAGCCCTATTGTGCTGAAGTATTAACTCCACCCCAGGTAAAACCAGCACATTTAACCTTAAATCTGGTAATAGTTTAATTAAGTAAATGAAAGGGAGAAACTGGGGCATTTCTTGTGTTTCTGGGGGGTGAAAGGGAAGAGAAGAGTGTATTTACTGGGATCTCAGTGGACTGATTTTCCAGATCCTTCCTCAGCTCTGTTCCCTTTGCTGGACGTGTTTCAGCCCCTCAATGTCTTTCTTTCCATGAGGGGCCCAGAACAGGACACAGAACTCGAGGTGCAAATACTTTGCCAGCTCTGGGGACAGAAAGTCCTTTCAGGATGTCACCACTCACCACTTTATGTGTATTCATGTAAAACAGGGACAGAGGCAAGAAAACAACTGGATCTCCAGGGTTTTTTAAATGCAGAAAGACTTTAATGCAGCAAGAAAAGGAGTTGGCACAGATACAGAAAGATTATAGTTTTGGGATACTGGAAGGAGCTACAGGAGGTGAGTCACTGCACTGGAGAACATTCCTTCTTGTTGGAGCCACGTTGTTCATCCTCCAGGTGCTTGTAAATCCAGATCAAAGGCGAGACAGCTGTGATCCTGCTCCATTACAGTCCTGCAGCACCTTACTGGAAGTACTTATTGAAAATGCAGATGACCCAAAATCTCATATTGCACAGGGATGCAATATGAGCAGCTGCAAGAAGTTCCACAGGAATTGCAGATCGTCCCTCCCGTCGCTGACGGGGCTGTGAGGGCGTTTAAATACAGGAGGCTACCAAGAGGGTTGAGAAAGGCAGGGAGAAGCAGACAGGAGCAGGAAGAACAGAAATCCCCAGGAGTTTTTAGAGCAGGGCCCAGCTCCTCATCCTTCGTGACCTCGGGTGCCCCGGCGGGGACTCGGCGCGTGTCCGAACGTCCCGTCGGGGCTCAGCCCTCGGCCTGGGGGTGCTGGGGGGGCCGTGGGGGGTTCAGCAGCAGGAGGAGCAGCAGCCGTAGGAGTAGCAGCAGGAGGGGTAGCAGTAGCGGGTGCTGCGGGCGCGGTACCCGCAGCAGTCCCCGCAGCCGTAGGTGCGGCGGCAGCAGCGCAGGGTGCGGACGGTGCAGGGGCTGCAGCAGCTGTAGGTGCGGCAGCAGCGAACGCTCCGGTAGCGGGGGGAGCAGCACAGGGTGTAACAGGGGGAGTAGCAGCAGCAGGACATCCTGGGGGGCTGCAGGGAGGGAGGGAGGAGAACCTGAAACAGAGCAGGGAGGTCGAGGTTAAGCTCGGCTCGCAGCGGGGTCGGCGAGGAGGGTTCGGGTGGAAACGTGGAGCAAATCCCTTTGTTTGGGTGTGATTCTCGTTTCACAGGATCACTGAGGCTGGAAAAGACTTCCAAGAGTCCAAGCTGTCACCCAGCCCCAAGCTGTCACCCAGCCCAGAGCACCGAGTGTGGGAAAGGCTTCACTTTGCTGCGGTAACTTGGTTTTTGGTTGGTTTTTATGAGTTTGCTCTTCTGATTTTCCACATTGAGCAGGGATATGTTCAGAGTCCCCGAATCCTTGAGGTTGGAAAAGACCTCCAGGATCATGGAGTCCCCCCTGTGCCCCATCCCCACCTTGTCCCCCAGCCCAGAGCACTCAGTGCCACGGCCAGTCCTTCCCTGGACACCTCCAGGGCTGGGCACTCCCCCACCTCCCTGGGCAGCCCCTGCCAAAGCCTGACCCCCTTTTCCATGAAGAAATTCTTCCTGAAGAAAAAATGAAGTGTTTGTGGGAGTTTGATGTCCAAGCTCCCAGCCCAGGCAGCTGAGGAAAATCCCGAGCTCCAGATAAGATGTTTAGGTGTCCTAAATCTGACCTGGATCCCTCACAGCACTTCCAGCAGTTCTTAGAAGTGTTTATACACAACCCAGCAAGTTCATTAAAGTCTCAGCCCTCCTTGTCTGGCTTTAATCTTGGCATATAAACTATTCCTTTTCCTGTCTAACACTGGCTTTGTTGGTGCCGGTTCTAGCAAGGACACTGAAAATCCTCTGCTGCAGAGTGAAGGTTTAAATCCTGGATTGCTGCAGGTCAGAGCTGCCCCAGTGACTCCAGAGCCACTAAAACAATCCATGTGACCTGCCCATATTCATTATTGCCACAGCTTTCCAACCAAAAGCCATTTCCTCCTTATGCAATGGGCAATTCTGCCCATGAATGAAAATTTCAGGGTTTAAGTATCATCGGGTTAAAAAAGAAACACAGAACTTCTGACTTGGCTTCACATTTTCATGTCCACTCATCAATGCCCTCCAGATTAAAACATCCAGGGTAAAACCCTTGTTAGTGCAGGATTTATCCCCGAGTTAAAGGGACTGAGAGAATGGGATCTGGACTTACCAAGTTCACTGAGAGGAGTAAACCAAGAGGAGCTGTGTGAGGAGCACTGGGGTTGTGAGCATTTTTATATTCTTTCTTAGACCTGTGGAAGTCACCTCAGTTCTGCAGGGCAGTCACGAGACAAATTTGGGAAGTACATCAGCAGCCCAATTGCTATAATTGTTTTCCTCCCCGTTTAGGCCAATTTTCACATTCCTTGGGTGATCACACCCTGGGAGATTCTTTCATCTGAAAACTTCCCAGGACAAAGGGATTTTTGGGAAATCACCCCAGAGGACAAGTGGGGCTGGAAGTGGAGGCTGCACGAGCAGTTCCAGCTGCACGGGCAGCCCAGCTGAGGAGTCCAGGGCTCATTTCTTTAGGTTGTGCCCCTCCAAGGGAGGTGGATGCTGCACATTATGGGGTGATGTAAAACACCTGGGGAGGAAAGAAATATTGTCCAACCTGCTCAGGGTTCCTTCCGACCCTTTTGATTCATTTCCGCCACAATTAATGACAGACCTGCCATTGATTCTTTTCTGCCTATAATTTGTCCTCTGAGATGTCCAGGCCCAGGCACGGAATCAATTAAATCAGCATCTGAGCAATGTGGTCAAGGCTCAAAGTCTGGTTTTCGTGCCCCTTTTCTGGGTGAAATTACTAGAAAGACTTTTCTGAGTCAGTGTCTTGGGGTATCAGAGGCATCGAGGAGGTATTTATGTCGTGCTTATATAGCTGAGATTCTCCCCCTCTGCTCCTCTCTGCTCAGATCCCACCTGGAATACTGAGGCCAGCTCTGGTGTTCATAAAGGGACTGGAACCCCTTCCCTGTGGAGACAGGCTGGGAGAGCTGGGAATGTTCAGCCTGGAGAGGAGAAGGTTGTGTGGAGACCTCAGAGCCCCTTCCAGGACCTGAAGGGGCTGCAGGGAAGCTGGAGAGGGATGTTCATCAGGAACTGGGGTGGCAGGGCAGGGGGTGGGTTCAGACTGACAGAGGGAAAATTTAGGTTGGATATTGGGAAGGAATTGTTCCCTGTGAGGGTGGGGAGGCCCTGGCACAGCTGATCCAGGAGAACCGTGCATGTCCCATCCCTGGAAGTGTCCAAGGCCAGGTTGGAGCAACCTGGGCTAGTGGGACGTGTCCCTGCCCATGGCAGGGGCTGGAATTAGGTGATCTTTAGGATCCCTTCCAGTCCAAACCATCCTATGATTCTACAAACATAACACTGGGCCCAGGACCTGGTGCTGCAGAACAAATCCGGGTTCCCTGAGGGTCCCTCCCAGGGGCTGCAGCAGAGAAAAGAGGGAGAGCAGTTTTTAGGAAGGTGGGGAAGGCAGTGGGCTGGAGAGCACGTGTTCCTGGCTGGGGGAAGCTGAGGGAGGGGGTGGCTGCTCACCCTGTGCCCCCCTGTCATGGTTTGAGATAGCCCCAAAATCTAAAAAAAACCCATCTCACATTAGATTGAGATGTGACAGGGGGCTGGGACTAGGGAATTAGATTTTGGGGCTATCTCAAACCATGACACCCCCCTCACTTCCCAAGGGCTGCTGAGGGGCTGGACCTGCAGGAGGGATTGTCCCGATCCAGGAAAGCGGGAATCACTTCCCCGATGTCCCGGGGTGGTTTTCCCCAGGGAGAGACATCTGTGCCTCTGCCAGCCCACACCAAGGGGTGCCACGGCTTCGTGTTAACGAAGCAAAACCTCGTTAGCCCAGGGCTTCCCTTCCTTGTGCATCCAGGCCCCTTTCAGCACCAAACCATCGGTGTTTAAATAACACAAACATTGCTAAAGTAACTTTTAATGACTGTTTTGGGAGAGCATTGATACCATAAATGCTGAGGAGGCTCAGCACTTCCAGAATGCCTGTTATTATCCTCATTTAATATGCAAATGAGGCTTGGCTCACTCCAGGGAAGGTCAAACAAGGAGGTATTTGTTGAGTTGAAAAAAAAGCCTCTTGGCTTCGTGTTGGGCTCAGTTTCCTCTGGGGAGCCAGAGGTGGGGTTGAAAACCAGCATCAGTAAGTTTTGCTGTAAAATATTAATATAATTTTACCTTCTCTACATTCTCCTGTCCCTTCAGGTATCTGGGATTTTATAACTAAAGCTGAGATAGACCCAAAAAATTTCAAGGCAAAAGAAATGTTGTCCAGCTGAGATGAAAATAAATTAATGGTCCTCGATGGGGAGGGAACCAATTATATTAA